CACAGGGGCTGCAGCCTACGCCGTCGCCGGCGACTCATGGCAGCCCAGCTCCAGGTTGAGCTGTTGTTCAGCATCTTAGCTGTGGAGGACAGCGTCACTGGCTCTCATGTGGGATCCGAACTGGGGCCCTCTGGCGTCCCAAGCCGGTTTCTAACCATCGTGCCACTCGGCCGGCCCTACCTTCAAGGATCCTTGACTCTAGCAGCCGCCCTTGCTATGGATTCTTCCTGAGTCCCTCAAATGCAATCTAATCATTCTCTGTGTTGGTTTATAAAATAATTTTGAAGAATTTAAGTTCAGAAGCTGCCTCTGTAGCCAGCTGAGTTTGCCACCCATTCTAGGCAAGTGTATAACAAAGTGAATAGGTCGGAGACTTGATTTTTGACTCTCAGGCTGTGATGACTCCATCATTCATTATTCTGTACTGATGCTGGTGAAAATGTCAACTAGCAGTTGCTTTGCCTCATCCCCACGTATCTTTTGTTAAGCATCAGCACTCTGTACAAGTTTATGTTGTTTTTTTAAACCTGGTTTAAGTTGACTTGACTGTTCATCAACTTGATTGTACATCAGAGTTTCATGCGGGTGGAGGGCCGGCCGAGTGGCGCATTGGTTGGGGGTTGGCTTGGGATGTCAGCTCTAAGCAATGGGCCCCAGTTCGGATCCCACATGAGGGCCAGTGACACTGCCCTCTACAGCTAAGATGGTGAACAACAGCTCGACCTGGAGCAGGGCTGCCGCGAGTCACCGGCGACAGCGTAGGCTGCAGTGGGGCTGGCTGGCAACTGGTGTCAGCTTTGTTTTCATGAGCTGCTGTGAGCGGCCGTCCAATGGCCGGCGAGCGACTGCCTCACCTGGGAAGAGCGCAGTGATGGTGCCAACATGGGCCAGTGAGGCGACGTCCTCCACAGCTGGACTGAGGAACAAGGGGACAGCAACTTGTCTGATGCCCTTCCCGATTCCCCAGTGCTGTTCCCCTCCCCCAATTCCCCAATAAAATCTTTAGGGGAAAAAAAAATTTCTTGGGGAACTTTTCAAAATAGTAATACGTGAGCCTTACCTCAGACCAATTAAAAATCAGAATGTGGGAGTAGGACCTAAGTATTAATTTTTGTTGTGTTTTTAACTTCCCCTTTTACATGCAGCTAGGGTTGAGAAACAAATTGGAAATGCAGTCCTATTTCGTTCACAGACCTCTCTCGATCTCCACGGCTCTCCACCACATTTTTTGCTTTACTATTCCTAACTTCTCCTGATATAATGCTGTTCTGCCTTCCCATATCCACCACTAACTGCAGACTGGGCTTCTCCTTTGATAGGCAAGCTCCCTCCAGGTCCTGTATTAAGCAGGTCCAGTTTAGGTATAGCCATCATTTAATCTCATACAACTGAAAGGTTTCTTAGTAGAACGTAGGAACATGTTTGAATTCTGCAGAGTATGTTTCTATTGGTTTTATCCTAAGCGTTCTGAAAACTCAAGTTTTTGTAAATTAATTTTGCCTCTTACTCCTCTGTGTAATCATATGGTTCATCTTTTAATTTTGTTGATGTCTGAAAAGTCATATTCATGGTATATGAAAACATTTGTAGTGGTTAAGTCAAGCTGACCCAAATGGAAAAACTAAAATTTCCACAAAACAAATTTTTTTTCTTTAGATTTTTATTGGGGAATTGGGGAAGGGGAACATTGTGTTTTTCCAGGACCCATCAGCTCCAAGTCAAGTTGTTGCCCTTCAATCTTAGTTGTGGGGGGCGCAGCTCAGCTCTAAGTCTAGTCACCGCTTTCAATCTAGTTGCGGAGGGGCGTAGTCTACCATCCCATGTGGGAGTGGATCCGGCAACCTTGTTAAGAGCTCGCGCTCTCACCAGCTGAGCCATCCGGCCGCCATTTGGCAGCTGGTGGCTGTGCAGCTCAAGGTGCCATATTCAATCTTAGTTGCAGGGAGTGGGGGACATAGAATGCAGGAGTCCAACTGGCAACCTTGCTGCTAAGAGCACACAGTCTCACCAGCTCAGCAGCAGCTCAGCTTGGGCACAGCTCACTGGCCCATATGGGAACTGGCAACCCTGTTGCTCAGAACCCGTGCTTCGAACCAGCTGAGCCACTTGGCCGGCCCCACAAACAAATTTTTAAGAAAACCGCCTGTCCTCTAGAGGGCATTCACATGCTCTTCCTTTAATTTTGGTTCAGGTTCAAGAACAAACCAAAGAGCCCAGTAAGAACCCTTTTCTCAGGAAGAAACCGGCTCTGATCTCTGAGCCATCCCTCCTTCGAACTGTGCAACAGATCCCAGGAATTGGAAAAATTAAAGCTCCCCTTCTGCTTCAGACCTTTCCAAGTATCCAGCAACTAAGTAACGCTTCCATCCAAGAACTGGAGCCGGTCGTTGGGCAAGCAGTAGCACAGCAAATTCATGCGTTCTTCACACAGTCCAGGTGACAGCCCCTCTCACAGCATCTACGTTTTCTCCTGTAGATCGCAAACTACAAGATCTTGTTTTCATATTTAAAAACCAAGAAAAAAGATTTCCTCTCACAGCAACCAGTGAAAGGTGAGAGGAAGACTGAGTGGCACCTGCTAGTTATCCTGCTCTGCTCTGGGTGCAGGCATTTAAGTTAGTGGGCCCCAGATGGCGCTGCCCCGATTCTGCTAGCAGGAAAAGGGCCAGTGGGGATCTTCCTGAAAGAGTCGCTTTAATTAGAGACTCTCAGATTCAGCAAAAAGCCAGCTTGGGCAGATCTGAATGTGTGACCTTGACCTGCATCTGTCATGGAAAGGTCTTAACAAGTTTCAGGTGGTAGATATGACCTTCTAAAGGAAACACACTTACAATGAAGCACTGTGTACCCTAAGTCCCTTGTTCCTGATGGCAGAGCCACTGTTCTTCAGGTCTGGTCTTAATATACCTGTGTTTTGAGGGCTGCTGCCAATGTAAATAAACAATTGTACAACCTTTGTTCTTCTACCTGCCTTCCCTTCCTGGTAGCTGCACAGTTTGTTTATAATCACTGGGCACATCTGAACACAGACAGCCTTGGAGTCTAGAATACCCATGTAAAGATGAAAAAAACCAGTGTGTGGGGTGGAGGGAAAGAATGTGTTTGTAAATGTATGGTCCAATAGTGGGGAGATACCCAGGAAAACGGCAGGAGCAGCTGTACCCAGAAAGGAGGGCTGGGGAATCAAAGGGTACACTTGCCCATTCAAAAAAGAAATACAATTAAAGATGCCATATGTTTTCAAAGATCCTAAGATAACTTAGAAGTCCTGTTTTTGTGAAATGTTAGTAAATTTTAAAAACTCAATAACATTTGTGCACTAGGATAGAAACAATTTGAAAGGAGGGAATTCAAGTGAAAAAGTAAAAACCGTAAAAAAACATTAATTCAGGCAAATGAGTTTATTTAAATATTTATACAAAAACACCCCCAAAAGCAGTGGATACACTTCCCCAAACTTCCCTTTTGATATTGCACACTAGAAAACACTTTAAATTCTTGTTAACTCTCAAAATTAGATTTTAATACTATACTTTTTTAGCTATATCTTCTATGTCAACGGTGAATCTTGTTAGAATCACAGTATCATCCAACTTATAGCAAAAGAAATCAGTTGGTAAGAATGTCATTTAAAAAAATCAAATAGAGCTTTAAACTAGTATCATTTACATCTTTGTCTTATAAAACATTTTAACCCATTAAAATACACAATTATGTACTTCTACTTTAAACAAAATGAAAAATGTTTTGAGTATCAAACAGTATATTATCTACCTTGTAGACAGCATTTTCATCTAACACTGCCACTGTGTTAGCAACTTTTAGATGACATGTAACTAGAAGGAAAGCCACTCCTAAACTGTTTTATCTAATAAGTGGTGACAAATTTGGCACTAGACTGTATCTGGAAATAGCATTCATATTATGTAGAAATAAGAGTAAGATCTTGTCATTTTAGGGTAACGAATTCCCCTTAGAAAGCAGCTCTCGGAACAGATTTTAGTAACACTAACTTAAGTCCATCATTATCGTCCCTTGACCTGCTTTAATTTGGGCTTATCTGGATTCTGGTTTAAGGAACGATCTATTACCCAAGCCTGGAAACCATTACAAATAGGACCAATATAGGTAACCCCAATTTAACTCCGATAGTAACTACAAGTCATCATTGTAGCCATTAAAAATAGCCAGGTTTTCAACACTATTCGATTTACAATACTTCATGTAATAAACTTGCAACCATATGGTGACATTCCTTGAATAAGTCTGTCACCCAATTTCTAGATTTCTTGTTACTTTCATTCATAAAGACATATCCATTGAAAGGTTACACTGTGGGAAAACGGAACTTGAGAATATTGAGAAATTTTCCATTATGGCACAAATATGAAGGCGTAGTCAGCACTGGAAATGTTTTGGGCCCGAACATTTTGGCTTCCTCCCGCTAGTACAAAGCACCGTCGGAGTTGAGAATGCCGAAAGGTGGGGGGAGCTTCTTCTTGACTTGAGGCCTGGCAACCCCAACCGACGGGAGGCACAAGGTGCTGGCAGACTTCTGTCTGTTCTTGTTGGTGCCCCAACTCAAGAAAGAAAGCTTTTTTGAGATCTTCTTGGTTTTACCAGTTTTATCATCATCATCATCTATGGCTAAGCAGATCATGGAGTATGTTTTCTGCATCCCCACAGAGTACGTGGCACACTTATTATGCTGCACATAGAAAAGGAAGGAAAAGCGTGTTAGAAATCCTCAAGCTATCTGATAAATGATGGCAAAGTTTGATACTCGCACTCTGCACTTACAGCATCCTTTTTAAAGTTGAGTTGATAATACTTCTGAAACGGGTGACCAATGCTTACATAGGATTACATTCTTAAAAACAAGGACAATTTTTAAGGAAGATACTCACTAGTAGTAATGTAAGTTAAGGGCCACTACTCACTTAAGGTTCTTATTATATTTGAAAAGTAATACATACTCATGGTCAGCAATAGGAAAACACCTTGGTTTCCAGGCCTTTCTCTCGTGGTAAACACAATTTCTGTAACACTTTTAACAGGTATGTGCATAAGTGTACGTCACCATTTGTCTTTCCTTAAAAGGAACACACTGCACACACTAGTCTGCACCCTGCTTTCGTCACTTGGATTTCAGTCCATGCCATTAGGTACAGATCAACTTCATTCTCTTTAAAGACAATACAGAATCTACAGTGAGGATACTATGAACTTTTTTTCCCTATTTTTTTAAACTGGTGAAATAAATGTAACAATTTACCATTTTAACTAACTTCAAGTGTACAATTCAGTGGCATTAATTGCATTCCCATTGCGGCGCCACCATCACCCCTCTCCATCTCCAAAACTTTGTCATCTTCCCCAAAGGAAACTGTAGCTATTAAACACTACTATTAACTTTTAAAGGATTGTGTAGGACTCCAATAGGAAATCCCAAGAAACTTGTTTTCTAAACACTTCCACGTGGGTTATCACCTGCTTCTAAGGTTTGCCTAACATGGAGATTGCTTTGTTCATCAAATGTTTATTGAACATCTAAGTTCCAGGCACTTAAATCAGGCCATTTATACAGATATACATACAAAATACCTAAAGTGGTTGTGTACATTGTTCATAATGTAAATCAAGGGATTTGAGTGATGCGCCAATAAAGGAGGGTGTTCACTCGAGTGTGGCTCCTTGGGATGAAGTTCCTCTCTCCACGTCCCTCACTCTCTACCTCTTAACAGTGCAACAGCCAACCACTCTCTGCAGGGAGGATTTTCTTCTCTTGATTTCAGAAGCTCCTTTTCATCCATCCTCCCTGAACTCACCTTCGCAACTTCCCTTTGCACCCACTTCGAACAGACCTCCAGATGCTCATGGCACCTCAGAGTTTAATCCTCAGCCCTCAGCCCCTCGCAGGCAATTTCATTCCATCTCTTACAGCTTTTAAGGATTATCTCTATGCTGATGACTCGCAAATATTTATTTCTATCTCTGACTTCTTCCTTAAACGAAAGATCTGAACATCCAGTCGCCTACTTTACATCTACATTTGGACGTCCAAGGGCATAAGAAACACTCAATGCATGACTCTTGTTTTCTCTCCCCTCTCTCTCCCTCAACCCCAACCCATTCCCTATCATTCTGAAAAATGATACAGCTCGTTCAAGCCAAAAACTGAGGGGTCCTCTCTCTTTCCGCCATCTTTTTTACACAAATCATCTACAAATCCCTGTTAGCAATACCTCCAAAATATGTCTCAGGTGCATCCACCCCTCTCCACCTCCATTGTCACGCCTCCTAGGGTAAGCTGCTACCATGACTGGCCTGGAGGACTGCCACAGCCAGCTCCCTCCGCTGCCACTCGGCCAGCCTCCAGGCAGCAAACATCCTGCTAAAATAAACATCCTACGATTTCATTCCCCTCCTTAAAAGGTTCAATGGCTTCCAAAGTTCCACCACTGCCAATGAGGCCCTGTCTCCCTTCCACCTCATTTCCTGCTGTCACAGTGCTCCAACCGAAAGGCCCTCTGTTTTCGTTCCTCTAGCAGAAGCTTATTCCTGCCAGAGCCTCTGCACCCATTGGTCCCTCGCCCAGGATGCTTTTCTTGTACCTCTTCAAATGCAAGAGGTTCCCCCTCGTCACTCAAGTCTCAGTGCAAGCCCTGTCTAGAGGAGCGTCTCCTTACCCCCAGTCATTCTGTTATGGTATGACATCTTATTTTCTTTACAGCACTTAACAAAATTACGACTATTTGCTTATTTAGTGCCAGCCTTGCAGGGGTAGGGAGCTTATCTGTAGTTCGAGCTGTAGCTCCAATACCTAAGAAGTGCCTGGCACACAGCTAATGCTCAGTCAATATTTGTTGAATGAATAAACGAACATTGTTATAGAGGGAAGTCTTTAAGGTACATTATTAAACGTGGCAAAAGGTGGAAGAATACATATGGAATGATTCCTCCCACTTGGGGAACACAAGGATATAACCATGCACCTGAACTTGCACAGGTATCCAACGCTTCCCAAGATCTCACAGGAAACAGCAAGTGCTCTCTCTGACATGTGGAGATGGTCTCTCACACAACATCGAAAGCTCTCCTGTACCATTCGAATCCTTTTTTACCATGAGTATGTATTACTTTTGTAATTAAAAAGAGAGGAATCAGCAAAACCAGTTGGTTGTTTTATCTACAGGATCAAAAGTAAAAGTTTCCCAGTGATCTCTGACCCAAGGTAAGCACGTTGCTGCAGTGACAAGCTTAGGAGTTCGGTCATTTATGGCATGTTACAAATGCAGACGGGGGTGGGGCAGAGGGCCCGGGAAAGACCTCTGGGGTTGGACTCACTCCAACTTCACTCCAGCCGCTAGTTACTGCCAGGAGGTGTCGGCGCTTACCATGGATGAGGTGGAGTCCAGGAGGCTCACGACCTTCATCTCAATGTCGTCCTCGCCAAAGCTCTTCAGCAGTTTCATAACCTCGCTCACTGTCAGCCACTTACAATCCACATTTTGAATGGAAACAATATAATCCCCTTCCTTGGCTCCTGCCAGCTACAAAAGTTTGACATCAATAAAGGTCAACGTTCTGTTCATTCAATTCCCTGAATCAGTTTCCAAGTTCATTATCAAAATAAATCAGTGCATAAGTTTGCTTCAAGAAAGCAAAAATTAATCTTTTTCTCTTTGGGCATGTATAATAGCATCCGTGAAAGGCCTTTTGCATAGTCAGGCCTTTTACATAAAGGAACCCTAAATTCATTCACCCAGATCTACTTGTTTGGACAGCTTTCTTTGTATTTTACCAGTTTGACTACCCACAAAGATGCCAGTGAGTCTTTGCTGTATACCTGAAACTAGTATAATGTTGAATGTCAACTGTAATTGAAAAAAAAAAAAAAAATGCCAGTGAGTTTTGTTCCCAATCCAGAGTGGCACAGGCTTACCGCAGCAGAGCAGTAAGGATCCAAGCAGTGGACTTGGACAGGGGAGTTTCCTCTCAAGGTGAACCCCAAATCCCCTTCTTCTGCAGTGAAGTGAATGCTTCGAGGAGATGTCCATCTCTTGTTCGCCGAAAACACACATAAAGGGCCCTTTGGAATACAGCATCATTAGCTGTAGGATCTGAAGGCTGAATCAGGCATTTGAAAGCTAAAGTAGGGGCGGCCAGTTAGCTCAGGTGGTTAGAGCGCAGGCTCTTAACACCAAGGTTGCTGGTTCGATTCCCACATGGGCCAGTAGGCTGCGCCCTCCACAACTAGATTGAAACAGCTACTTGACTTGGAGCTGACGGGTGCTGGAAAAACACACTGTCCCCCTGCTCCCCAATAAAATTTCTTAAAAAAAAAAAAAAAAGAAAGCTAAAGGAAATGTTGCCTTGTTCTTGCAGATTTCACTTGGCCTTGCTCAGGGGCTAATGACACCGTCTGGGATAACACATGCTACAGCAGTCCTGAGAACATTAGTTGCCATTTCCCCCCAAAATAGCCAATATGTTTTAAATAAAACTATCTTTAAAAATCATCTTAATTAAAATCTCTAATTAAAAAATCTAAAATATCTAAAAATAGCCTTTACATACTTGCAACATGTAACAGCTGTCCCCTTAGGTCATTAGGAAATAGGGGTTCAACATACCAGCTTCTGGAAGAAGTCCCTTATTGTCACCTTGGAGAACTGTGGCAGTATAATTTCAACCTCTTGCTCCGTTTTAGCTAGAAAAGAAAATTAAAAGGGAAAGCATAAATGTTTCTGCAATTGAAAGTTATCCTTGAAAACTCAGGTTTAAGTCTTCACTCGGAAGGGAAGAGGAGCCTTTCTCCTTGTCACTTGTCCCTTCCGCACAGTTTAGACAAACAGTACAGAAGATGATAGACTACTAGTCAACCCCCTGGCCCAGCGTGACCCGTACCTTCCATTTGGGTACCTACTATTAGCCATACCCCACTCTGAGGCTGGGACAAAATAGTGGCAACCAGACACATTCAAGTAGCTTATTTATATTCTAGTGGATACTCGTAAAACCTTACTGAGAAGTAATCTATGTTTCAGGTGTGTCTGCTACAGGAGTACCATGTCTCATAGCACAAAGAGATGGGATTCTCTTCCATTAGTAATGTGTGATGTGAGGATTTCACAACGAGCAGTGAGTTTGCCAAATCGTGTCCATCGATAGCTAACATCTCCACCAGCATATCTGTGGCAGGCCCAAGTCACCCTTTCCACGAGGCCAGTCAGTTTCTGACAAAGGATCCCAGAGTATACATGAACTCTAGTCTAAAGAGAAAACTTGGGGAAGAACACACCCTTCAATTCAAAGGATGACCCTGTGGCTTCTTATAATCTGCCTGACATAGCGTAGGGTTTGGACAGGATGCACATCCGCTAAAAGAGTGGTGTCATCACCCCGGGATAGCATCACCAGGAGCCGTCACCCTCCATGGAGGTTATGGCTCTACCCCCTGGCCACAGAGTACACGGTGTGCACCAGGGGGCCAAGGAGGTGGCCAGTGTCTGTGAAGCAGACTCCCCAGGTGCCATTCCTGCTTCCACTGACCAGCCTGGTCACCTGGGGCAAGGACTTTGATCTTCCTAAACCTTTATTGCCTCATCTTTAAGATCAAGGCAATACCAATATCTCCTTCATAGAGTTGAAAGAAGAGTTAAATGAGATTCTGTATACAAGTGGTGCTTACTGTTGCGCCTGGCAGGCCGCAAATACTCAGTAGATATCAGCCAACATCACTACAGACAAGCCCAGGATTCCAGCTTGAGCAGGGCTCTGTCTCTAAACAGCTGGTCCCTGAAAATAGGGGGGGGATTTCCAGAGACTGGGGACAGAGGTATAGGAAGTGGGGTGGGAAGGGGTATGGACAAAGGGGGTTCCCTCGATTGGGCCACCTTCCATCCCCTTCCCCTAACTCCTGGGAAGACCCTAGTCATTCCTCATTCTAAAGTCACCTCTCAGGGAGATTCCCCCCACTCCTGCCCTTCTGGGCAGAACTGACTGCCACCTCTCCAAGGGCAGCCACAACTATGCAGTTCATCTTTGTATTCCTGAACCTAGGCCAGTGCTCAATACTCTGGAGAGCCTTAGAAAATGCTGGCGGTACACAATTTCACTTACACGTGGAATTGAAAATAGTCCAACTCAGAAGCAGAGAGCAGAAAGGTGGATGCCAGGTGTGGGGGGCGGAGAAAATGAGATGCTGTCAAAGGGTAGTTGCAGTTATACAAGATGAGTACGTTCTAGAGAGCTAACGCCAGCATGGTGACCATGGTTAACAATATTATACGAGTATCGTATACTTGGAATTTGCTGAGAGGGTAGCTCTTAAGTGTTTTCAACACACACACACACACACACACACACACACACACACACACACACACACACACACAACTAGGTTCTGAAGCATTTTTCAGTGCCAAAGTAAACGTTTTCCCTGCACCCCCTTGTTCCACTCTATCAGCGGAAGTTTTACTTCTCATTTCATAAGAAAAATAATTTTTGTCCTAAAAGAAAATGTTAGTGCCGATAAAAGGGAGAAAACAGGGGAAAGAAAGAGCAAGCCTAGAAGCGGAAATAAGGATGCACTTGGCTTTCAAACCATGGAGCTAGAGGCAAAAGACGGATAGCAACGTGCAGTTTCCCAGAAGGCTGACGGAACATGCGTAGGTGTGGAGTGTGGCAAAAACGGTCAAAGTGCAAGGTAGTTTCAGGGGTTTCCTGACTAGAGGTGATGGCTGGAAACCCAAAGGAGGCTGGACATGAACGAGGAAGAGTTCACCTTGAGAATGCCAGGAGGGGTGGGTGGGAATGGCAAGTACAGTCAGCAAAGGGGGGTGGAGAGGGAGGTGTGAACAGATCACGGCGGCAGGGTGCCCCAGCACCAGGGGAGGAGTATCAAGGGGCAGGCAGGAGGCGAGTCAGATGTCACAAAGGCGTTGAGGAGGATGAGACCACAAAGAAGCCCTGGATTCGGGCAGGGGTAAGAGAGGCATTTTGCCCCCTTCCGGTGCAGAGGGTTTGCCTAACCCCTGCAGGAAGAGCAAATAAAGGCTGAGCGCCCCAAGGACCCCCGCCTCTCACACAGGGCGCCTGGCCCAGGCACCCAGGTCACTCACAAATAATGTTGGGAGCATCGATCAAGTTCAGCAGGTCATCGTCTTCCTGGTGCTGCTTGTACTTGAGCTGGGACCGCTGGTGCGCCACGGACAGCACCTTCTGCAGCACCTCGATGTTGCGAAGCTTCTTGCACAGGCTCACTTCCCTCACCGACTCCTCGTGATGGGCAACGGCTCTGCGCAGATGGGACTTGCCTGCCAACAGAAAAGCAACACCACGGGACGTGCGTCTTAAATTGCAACACACATACCTCAAGGAGAACCAAAGAGCCCCAGGATCAGCCCAGAGAGGTGGACATTCTCTCTTTTGAAGGATCTGCCTGGATGGCCAGAGTCCCTCTTAAATGTATGTGCAATATGCTCACTTATGTCTATAAAACATCCCTTCAGCAAATATTTACCGAATGTTCTAGACACTAGAGAAAGCAATAACCAAAAACTAGGCTCTGCATTCTCGGAGTGTGCATCATGCTAGTGGTTGAAGACAGATAGTTAACAAGCAAAGTCATATGTAATGGACTGTGTGGTGACAAGGTTACAGGGACACGTGAAGTAGGGTAGGCAGATGTGGCCAGGCAAGACTGGGAATGGAAAGTTGCTCTTCTATGATTGGTGCTCAGGGAAGGCCTTTTTTGAAGGTAACGTTTGAACAGAGCCCTAAGGAAGTAAGGGAGCTGCCTGGAGGATATCTGATGGAAGAGCATTCCTGAAAGAAGGAACAGCAAGTGCAAAGGCCCTGGGGCAGGGCCATGCCTACGTGGTCCAAGGACAACAATGAGCTTGGGGATGTGGCTAGAGGGAGTGACGGTGGCAGAGCAGGGTAGGGAACGAAGGCAGAGAGAAGCAGGGGCTGGACCACGTCCAACCTTACAAGTGCGGGGTGAGGACTTCCGCTCCAACTATGAGTGACATGGGAGCCCATTAGGGTGAGAGCAGAGGACTGATGTGATTTGACCTTGAATGGATGATGCAGAAGCAAAGAGGAGAGCAGAGAGACCAGGTATGAGGACATTGCAGAAGGCTGGGCAAGTTTATAACCTCTCTGGGCCTCTGTGTCCTCAACTGAAAAATGGAGATCATTCCATACCTATCTCAGGATTGTGTGAGGTTTCGGCACATCAGTGTCTATTTAGTAAGCACTACGTGAGTGTGGCTTGAACAAGGGTGGGAGGGTACGAAGTAGTCAGCTTTGGGTTATGTTTTCCAGGTAGGGTCGACGGGATTTGCTAATCAAATGTGAGGAGAGTGAGTCCAAGCTTTCTTGCCTGCGCACCTAGAAGGGTGCCGTTGCCATCACTGAAATGGGGAAACTGTGTGTGTGTGTTGGGGGGGGCGGGGTTGAGGGGCAGGTTTGGGTAGTGAAAATGCAGGTTTGCACATGGAAGGAGATACTAGCTTTGAGACTTGGCAGAGGCCAAACCAGGACAATTCATGACCAGTTCTCAGGTGTAGCCTGAGAAAATGAACCACCGTGTCCCCCCATAGTAGGATGACCAAGGGCCACCCCCAGAACCACGGGGGTGCTGGAAGATGGTCGAAGCCCTAGCTTTGCTGTGGGAGGCCGGGGCCCTCACAGAACCCGTGAGAACACCGCTCTGGAAGCCCATTGATATTAGAGGACTACAGGTCGTGGCTTCTGAATCCGGAGTGGCCACAATGACTCAGGACCCCCGTCTCCAAGCCCTGCCCTGGGACCTGTCTGGGGGTGCCCGTGAGTAGGACCAGCTGGGCACCAAATGGGGCACAAGGACAGCGGGGGCAGGAGAGCTGATACGTACCCAGCAGTTGGCGCTGATGAGGGTTTTTCAGCGTGGCCAAGGGCGTCAGTCCGTCAGGCATGTGGTCATAGAGCTGGGACAGGCACTTCTCCTGGTGGTCCTCGTCGGCACCAGGCTTCACTGCAATGAGAACCGCAGGCTAAGTTCCTCCCTGTGGTTGTGGCCATGGGCTCTGGAGATGGCCCCACAGACCCGTTAGAGATTTCGCTTTCAACCACATCTTCAGGTTTCTTTCTTCTCCAGTTTTACAAGGCACTTGGGATAATAGGTCTCCTTTCAGCCCCTGAACCCACCCCAGGCAACCCAGCCCACAGGTCTTTGCACACGCAGAGCCAGGCACATTCTAAGGGCTCATGATTTGGCTTGGACGCCCCACTCTTGATCTCCTCCAGGCCACCCACCTCACGGAACCTCCCGGCACAGCCCCGCCTCAAACTCTGGTGGCCCCCATGCCTGCACCCTCTCTGGTACATGCCCCCCTCTAACCTCACCAAAGCAGTCACCGCTAGATACCTCAACACTTTCGGCCTCCATCCCAGAGCTCAGAGGCTGTTCTTGCTCCAGCTGTCCTTTCCTTCCTTGATCAGCTGAAAAAGTCCTCCTCAGAGTTCAAAGTCCAACTCAAATGAGACACTGCCCACTACGACACCAAGGAGTCCGACTGCTGCCTCACTGGTGTCTCTACCTCAATTACTGACTTACATGACTTGTCCTGCCTAATAGATGACATCATCATACTAGCAGTAGCAGCTAACACTTTCAGACAGCCCACTATATACTATTTAGCTTTGCATATAGGCACTCGGTTTTCACAACAGCCATGTGACATAGGTTCTCTTCATATCCCCATTTTAGGGGTGAGAAAACCGAGGCACAGAACAGCTAAGTAACCTGCCCAAGATCACACAGCTAGTTGACGACAGCTTTGAGATGTGAACCCAGGCAGTCTGCCTCCAGGAGTTGTCCTTTTCATTACTCTGGGGCTGCCTTAATTAGCACTAATGACAACAAAAGCCCCACTCAACCTGAGATCAAAGCTAAGACTAGGGTGAGCAAAGTAAGGCACTCACCTCGGGCTGAAAATTTAAGGAAGTGCCCCAAACTCAGCAATCAAGATACATGATATTTTAATACAAGTTTCCAAATATCAAAATCAGTGCAAAAAAACCCCCATGAGAAACAAAACACCCAAATTCCTTTTTGCTTCAGGCTCCAGCATGGCTCAGCACAGCATGGTTACCAATCCGTCTTTATTTAAAATTTTGATCACCATGGAATTTTTTGTATTCATTCTGATTCATTTCAAATGTCACAATAAAATGTTACCTTGATTACTGAGTTTGGGGGCATTCCCGTAGATTTTGTGCCTGAGGCTAAAGCCTCACTAGTCCTCACCCAGGTCCTAGCCCTGTTCTGGATTCCAGGTGAAAAGTCATCTCCATGAAGCCAGTTGCTCCATCCCAGGCAGAATTAACGCTTCCCCTCTTCCTCAGCAGGAACATATAACCCTTAATCCCACCCTGGCCTATGTGACAGCTGCCTCGGCCAGGGTCAGCAAACTTTTGAGACGGAAAAGCCAATCCTGTCCCTCACAACAATTTAAAAACCATTCGAGAGCCATAAAACAAATGAAATCACCATTATGTGAATCACATCCTTTAAAAATTTTATAAGTGAAACTATGATAGTTTTATTTTCATTTTCAATTTTACTGCAGAGCCACATGTACGTACCCCAAGAGCCGCATGTGGCTCGCGAGCCGCAGTTTGCCGACCCCTGGGCCCTAGGCCATCTGTCTTCCCACCACCTGTCCCCAAGCTATGAGCATCTCCAGGGCAGGCAGACACCTCCCATCCAGCTCATGGACTCCTGGAGGCAGGAAAACCACAACCCTGACCAGCCAGAGCCTCCAAGCCCCCGAGCCTTACACTGGTGGTCGATGAGCAGAATGGCTACAAAGTAGTGGGCCAGGGCTCCGTAGTGGTGGGCCTTCACGCAGGCCAAGCTGGCCCAGCTGTAGGGGATGTTCTCTTTCACAGGCTCCTGGCTCATGGCTGCGTGCAGCTGCTGATAGACCTCTCCCACCTGAAGGAGAACGGATGTTGTTGGGAAGGGGGATCCTGGCACCAGGAGCTCTCACCCACCCAGGCTACGGAAAAAGAGCCCTTTCTTCTAGGCAACAGCCCCTTGCCAGAGGCCGCTCCTGAATCTGGGAGCGACTCCAAGGGTGCTCCGTGCTGTCAGTGTCAGCGTGAACAGGGAGATCAGGCAACGGTCATTATTCTGGTTTTTAGGCTAAGCTGCAGATGGAATCAGTGATCCATATCTGAAACATCAGGACTTGCCAAGAAAATGCAAGCCAGCACTCTGGCCAGGGCGGGCATGCCGCCCAGGTCCTGGGCCAGCTGCCATGGGAAGAAGCCCCCGCTGCCTCCAGTGGGCCCGCACCCACGCGTCCCGCCCACCCCTGAAAGTCACGGGAACCAGGAAGGCTTACCTTGGCAGCCTCCTGCGCCACTTTCACCAGCATGAAGAATTCGTTCCGTAACCCAGAAAGGCAGATTTTCTCAAACACGCTTTCTTGGGCCTGGGCAAGCATCATTTTGACCAGCACGCTGAGCATGGCGGGACTCATGTCATAACTTGGCGTGTGAGTAAATGTCTCTTTCAGGTAGTTTAAAACCCCTACAATTGGAAATTATCTGCACATTAGTTGGGAATCATATTTATTTCACCATGCTGCTCAGAAATACAGAGAATGACAGAAGAAAAAATTGAAAACTGGTATCCTGGAGCATCTTTAAAAAATCTGGTTTTTGATTACCATAAGATCCAGCAATTCCACTCCTAGGTATAAACCCCAAAGAATTGAAAACAGGGACTTAAACCGATACTTGTGCACCAGTGCTCACTGCAGCATTATTCACTAAAGCCAAAAGGCAGAAACAACTCAAATGACCATTGACAGATAAATGGATACATGAAATGTATATACACGCAGTTGAATATTTTTCAGCCTTAAAAGGAAGGAAATCCTGACACATGCTACAATATGGGTGAAGATACTGTGCTAAATGAAACAAGCCAGTCACAAGAACAAATGTTGTATGATTCCACTAAGATGAGGTATCTGGAATAGTCTGGAATTCATAGAGACAAAAAGTAGAATGGTGGGCGACCGGTTAGCTCAGTTGGTTAGAACACAGTGTTCATAACACCAAGGTTGCTGGTTTGATCCCCACATGGGCCACTGAGTTGCACCCTCCACAACTAGATTGAAACAACTACTTGACTTGGAACTGATGGGTCCTGGAAAAACACACTGTTCCCCAATAAAATAAAATAAAAATAAAAAATTTAAAAAATGGGGCTGGCCGAGTGGCTCAGTTGGTTAAGAGCTTGCTCAAGAGTTTGAGCTATGAGCAACAGCGGTTCGAGTCCCGCCCAGAACTGAGCAGCCACTGAGCTGCCAACAGGTGGCAGGATGGTTCAGCTTAAAAAAAAAAAAATTTGTAAAAAAAAAAATGTAGAATGGTGTTGCCAGGGACTAGGGGGAAGAGGGAATGGAGAGTTACTGTTTCATGGGTACAGCGTTTCCGTTTGGGATGATGAAAAAATCCTGGAGATCGATAGTTGTTGCACAACAATGTGAATGTACTTAATGCCAATGAACTGTACTCTTAAAAATGATAAAAATGGGGCCGACCGAGTGGTGCATTGGTTAAGAGCTGGCTTGGGACGCCAGCTCTGAGCAGCAGGTCCCCGGTTCGGATCCCACATGAGGGCCAGTGACACTGCCCTCTACAGCTAAGATGGTGAACAACAGCTCAACCTGGAGCTGGGCTGCCGAGTTGCCGGCGACGTTGTAGGCTGCAGCCCCTGCTGCAGTGGGCTGCCATAAGCTACTGTAAGCGGCTGGCAGCTGGCGTGAGCTGCCAACAGCCACCGTGAGTGGCCGTCCAGAGGCCAGCAACTGATCCGCCTCATTCAGGAAGAGCCCAATGATAATACCAACATGGGCCAGTGAAGCGAAGTCCTCCACAACTAGACTGAAGAACAAAAGGACAGCAACTTGTCTGTTCCCTTTCCCCCCCGATTCCCCAGCACTGTTCCCCTCCCCCAATTCCCCAATAAAATCTTTAAAAAAAAAAAAAAAGATTAAGATGGTCATTTTGTCATGTATCTTTTACCACAGCTAAAAAAAAGAATTGGATTCTCTTCCAAAACATTTACAGATTTCCACCTGTAAAAAAAACATTTACACCTGTTATCAAGAAAGGAAACCAGCGTGCTCCGGTCCATTCCAGTCTCTTTTGGGACAATTGTGAGAAATTCCAACCATGATGGAGGCAAAAGCAGAAGGCAAACAGAATGACTGAGGGGCTTTCAGGGGGAAGCTCACACTTAACACCTGGGTCATTCAGAAATTCAGGGCTTTCCCCAGCCCCAGGAAAGATCACCTCAGCCCATTCCAATGGAAATTTTATGCTGTAGCCCTCAGCTGACTTTTTCTATGTTTTAGAAAATTAACTGTCACAGCATAAACTGACAATCAACCTGGAGCTAAAATAAAATCTCCAGCCATGAATCCCATCTGACTGGTTTCTCAGGTTTTGTCACAAAGCATAAACCGCCCTGTAGAGGGATGGCAACAGCTGCAGGCTGTTTGCTCCCCTCTGGGGTTCCTCCACTCTGTTCTTAAGCTTCATTCTGTCCATATCTGTAATCTCAGAGACAAGCCACAAAGTACACCTGATTAAGATTCCTCAGGAAGAAAGATGAGCCCAGAAAAGGATTTACAGTGAAAGACATCAGCTCCCACACGGACTCTTAGCATATTGGTTCATCCGGAGGGATCAATCCTTTTAACACAAGCAATTCCACATCAGTGAAAATGGCAAAGCTATCCTTCTTCGCAGCCCTGCAGAGCAAAGTGAGATACTCTAGAAGGTTCTCTGCCGGGGTAACACCCCCAAGCAGAGTGATGAGGATTGGAACAGGAGACATGTGGCGCCAGCTCAGGGGATCGTGCTGTGGTCTGCGCTGGGGTGCTGCTTTGGCTGACCAAAGCCCATGCCAGGTATGCCTGACACAAGTCCTGTTAGAGGGGAACAAGGCAGGAAGGACCCTCGATGACCCGTGAGCAGCACCAAGCCTTGCGACCCTGGGTCCTCTATGAGTTAATGCTAAGCGTCGCTTGACAAAGGGCCGAAAAAAGCAACCTCTGGTGGGCAGGCTTCACAGAACGAGCAAAATAAAAAGGCATAAATAGTAATAGGTACTAGTGAGGCACACATGATTTTTTTTTAAAAAGCGTATGTTTTCACTAGTTCAAAAAACTTACTCTGTTCTTCAATATAGTGTTCAAAGTAAGAGTTCATTCACTGCCATCCTTGGGGCCACTCATTTGGAAAAGATTAATCGTTAACCACAGGATTCACTGTGCTCATGTGGCATAACCCAGACTGAGCCGACAGGGTTTAAACTATGAAGTAATTCTCTTGGTGGGAAATTACACCAGCACTGGAAACTGGCCTGGCCCTTTGAAGCCCGTGAGGCCTGGAAAGAACCCACAGATGGGCCGGCCGAGTGGCGCGATGGTTAAGAACTGGCTTGGGATGCCAGAGGGTCCCGATTAGGATTCCACATAAGAGGGCCAGTGACACTGCCCTCTACAGCTAAGATGCTGAACAACAGCTCAACCTGGAGCTGGGCTTCTGTGGGTCGCCAGTGACGGCATAGGCTGCAGTCCCCTGCTGCAGTGGGCTGCCATAAGCTACCATGTGTAGCTGGCAGCCAGCGTGAGCGTCCAGCAGCCGCCGTGAGCGGCCGTCCAGAAGCCGGCGACTGATCTGCCTCACCCGGGAAGAGCGCAATGATGGTGCCAGCTTGGGCCAGTGAAGCAACATCCTCCACAACTAGACTGAAGAACAACAGGACAGCAACTTGTCTGTTCCCCTTCCCCCGATTCCCCAGCGCTGTTCCCCTCCCCCAATTCCCCAATAAAATCTTTAGAAAGAAAAAAAAAAAAAAGAACCCACAGACCCACTTCAGTTGGGGTACCCAGTGCCAACTGGCAGGGCCAGGACTCCATCCCAGCAGCCCTCCTGGAGACATACCTGCAGCTCTCTGAAATGCGTCCACTGCACTCTCCAGCCCATCTTGCATCTGCCGATTGCACCGGGTCCCAATCTGTGTGTAGAGGGCTCCAATGTTAAACAGGACGCTGGCCTTCTCCAGTAGCAAGTTCTGTTGGCTGACGGGGACCCCAGTGAGGGAGTCATACCTATTTAAAATAAAGGTGTCATGAGAATAGAGATGACTTGGCTAGTTAATGCCACTTTGGGGTGCAAAATGGACAACATTTGTTTCTTGAATAAAATTCAAAGATGCACATGCAATGAGGCTTTCTTTTCCAAACAAGATGAGGGGCCAGATCATACTGAAGACACCCCCAATCGCACACAAAAATAAGGTTTTGCAACCAAGATGTCTGTCAGTAGGTGAATGGATAAACAAGTTGTGGCGTATCCATACAAGGCATAACCAACAGCATGAAAACAAAATAAGCTATTGAGCCGTGAAGAGACATGGAAGAAACTTAAATGCATAATGCTAAGTGAAAGAAGCCAGGTCTGAAAAAGCTACATACTGTAGGAGTCCATCCAACTCTATGATTCCAACTCTGGAAAAGGCAAAACAATGGGGACAGAAAAAGAATCAGTGGTTTCCAGGGTTTCAGAGGGGAAGATGAATAGGTAAAGCACAGGCAATTTTTAGGGCAGTGAAACGACTGTATATTCTAACAGTAGATACATGTCATGCATTTGTCCAAACCCATAGAATGTACAACACCAAGGGCAAACTGTAATGTAAACTACGGACTCTGGGTGATAGCGTGCCAATGTAGGTTCATCAATTGTAGTAAATGCACCACCACTGGTGGGGGACATTGGTAGTGGGGGAGGTTGTTGGGGTGTGGGAGCAGGAGGCATATGGGAAATCTCTGTCCCTTCCCCTCAATTTTACTGTGAACCTGAAACTGCTCTAAAAAAATAAAGTATTTTAAAAGTATAAGGTTTCTCCTAAATGAAACACAGCAATTACCAACTCATAATTTATCCTGAAGTCTAAAAGATTCAGGATTTGTTTTCAAGTTCACACATCAAGTAGCAGGTAGATAAGACACACAGCTTCTCCCTAACTTGAGACAGAGGAGAAATCCCCTTTACTCCCTTCGCCAGAGCAGACAGCTAGCAGCATCTTTACAAAAAGTCACCTGCTCAGGCCGGCCGAGTGGCTCAGTTGGTTAAGAGCACGAGCTCTGAGCAACAGTGTCGCTGGTTCGATTCTCACATGGGCCAGTGAGCTGCGCCCGAGCTGAGCTGCCAACAGGTGGCAGGATGGCTCAGCTAGTGAGAGCACATGCTCCTAACAACAAGGTTGCCAGTTTGACTCCTGCATGGGATGCTGGGCTACACCCACCTGCAACTAAAATTGAACACGGCACCTTGAGGTGAGTGGCAGCTCCCTGACGGGCAGCCGGATGGCGACTGGACTTGGAGCTGAGGTAGCTGCACCCTCCACAACTAAGATTAAAGGACAACTTGGCTGTTCCCCTTCCCGAATTCCCCAATAAAATCTTAAAAAAAAAAAAAAAAGTTACCTGCTTTTTCTTTCAAAAGGAAGGCATCCTATCGGCCTGCTGTGGTAAAAATTTAACTTTGAATGTGCCCCTTAGCTACCGGGATATGGTCTCCTCTCACCCATACTCAGCACCTCTCAAGTATTTCAACAACATTAATCTTTGAAAATACCAACTCTGGGAAGAAACTAAATGTTCTGCTTCCATTTTTAAATTCGATCTATTTCTGTTTGTTGACCTTGTCATCGGGACACAACCTGATTCCCATCCCCCCACCCCAGTCCCATTTGGGACAAGAATCTTGCTTTGTGTTAGTTCCACCTCAGAGCCCACGTGTTTCTCCTGATGACAAAATGAGCACACACACAAAAAACTACCTCCTCCCTTCGGCTCACTTGTTCTGAGAAGCAAGAAGGTAAGATCCGTCGGAGCCCCCCTCCTCTTCGGGTCCCCCTCACAAACAAACACCTGTTTATCTACACATCCTGGGCTCTACTGTATAAAGGGGACAATTAGAAAGAAGGGCCCGCAGTGCAGAGGAGCCTCTGTGGTGCCCAGGCTCCAAACTGTGACTGAAGTGGGGCAGCACCAACACAGGCCCCAGGTACCTACCATGTGAACAAGATCCCCATCTGTCGGGTGGGCGGGAAGAATCGGCTCTCGACAAAGCCCAGCTGAAGGAAATAACTCATCAGCAGTTCAACACCAGCCTCGTCTCGGCTGGGTGTCCGACAAGCCTGAAAAGAAAGGAAGCAGCGAAGGGGTGAGCGCGGGTGAGGACAGAGCAGACGGCCCATCCCGGAAGGTGCTCACACACGCTGTATCTGTGGCGCTTGGGCCCCGCTACTGGTATCATGAACTCTAGGAGGGGTGGAAGGGCTGGGATGAACTCAGGAGGCCCAGAATCCAGCCCCAGATGTGCCCGTGGGCAGGTCTCTCGCCTTCTGTGGTCTTCTAATGTGGCAAGTGGAATAGATGATTCCAACAGTTCCTCCCGATCACCTCCAACCATCTGTGAGTCTACAAGCTCTCAAGTGAGCAATAATGGGGTATTCTGAAGACCCCAAAATGCTCTAGCAGCTATCCCCGCTCCCTGCTGTGTGAAAAAACGTACTTGTCTCAGATCCATAAGATCTGCTATATCATCTTCATATAGGCAGCCATCTTCGCTGTAATGTTCTAGAATAAAATCCTGTAAGAAAAATGAGAGGAGACACTGTAAGGTGTGGTTCAAAATCATAAATAGGTAGAAGAGTAATGTCTAATGTGTTCCCTTTAAAAATAAATGTAGAATACATAAAAACTTATGGGAGATTGTACACCATGGTGATTTTCTGAATGGTGGGCTTTATCAATTTTTTAACGTATATTTAAGATTTTTGCTTTTGATGCTTCAGTATCAAGGAAAGCTGAGTAATTTTTTTTTTAAATGTCTTTGTGCCATGGTTAAGTGACCTATTCATTAAACTATCTGGCAAACATCACAGATATTCAGGGGCTCAGACCTTCATCTTTAGGGCTGCCCTCGCTACCTGGGCACAAAAGAAACTTGCGTCTGGGGACTGTTATCATGATGCTACCATCAGGGTCTGCTGGGAACCTTTGTGACAGCGGCTCTGGCACTTCCACAAATGAAGCACCGCAGGGACACTGCCTAATGCGGCCCACAGCCCAGTGTTTGACAAGCACTCTGTGAATTCACTCAGTCACGTGACACATACTGATGAGCACATGCCCTGTGCCAGGCATGTTCACACAACCTGGGTTACACATCCGTGAACAAAACAAAGATCCTGCCCCATGAAGCTAATATCCTCACAGGGGTTACAGACAGTACATAATGGGCGCAACAAATAAGTAAATTACATCATATATTAGAAGATGGCAAGTATTATAGGGAAAAAAACAAAAAGACCAGTATAGGGCATATGGTGAATTCGTTCTTGCATAACATCCTCCATGAGTGCTGGCTCTCCTTGGCTGCAAGAAAGTTGAGGAGATTGTGCAGTTATGTTTTCCCACGTGTCTGCGAGTCTTCTCTTTACACGCCTTCTACATTAACGCTCCTGCTGCTTTTTGCACATTCAATGCATATCCACACACATACACCCACATCTTACAAAAATGGGATTGGGGTAATACTGAATGAATATACACCTTTGCTTTGCTTTGTTTTTAAGTTCTTTGTTTGTTTTGTTTTTAAGCTGAGACATCCTTCCACCTGTTGGCAGCTCAACACCTGCTCAGCTCGGGCCAGGAATTGAACCGCTGTTGCTCAGAGCTCAAACTCTTGAGCGAGCTCCTAACCAACTGAGCCACTAGGCTGGCCCTGCTTTGCTTTGTTTTTAAATTGGCAATGCATCAAACCTTTTCATTTGCCATAAAATATTCTATAACATGACATTTAATGGTTATATAACCCTCTGATGTAATAAATGTATTTATTTATTCGACAAGTAAAGTTAGCCCCTACTATGTGCTAGCCAATATGTACCATGATAGTCTTCAATCCTTCTGTATGGACATTAAAATCATTGGTAAGTTTTGTAATTAAAGATAACACCATGTGACAGTCATCCCTGGTACACGTCTGATTAGTTCCTCAGAATAAACCCCAAGAAGAGGTCTTGCTGGGCCCAAGGATATGCAGGGGCTCCTTCTGTTTTTTACTTTGGTCATTTTTACTCACGTTTTCTTTTTGTTTTATGATGCTGCCAGATTTTCTTCATGACTTTACTTAAAGAGCTGATGTTTGGAATCAGCTTTTCTAATATGATGATTTGTAAAATTTGAAATGGTTTTCAAATGTTATTAATTCTGTTATTAGTGACACTAATTCCAATAAGGATGATCTTAAGGACAAAGTTTATCTAGGGCTTCTCAGATGACATCCTGAGAGCAGTGCTATGGGCTATCATTCGGGTGACGCTGTACAGAGAAGTATGTTATTCTATCAACCTTCATTGTGGACATTGGCAAAAATGTCCTTAAAAGGAGAGAAATTACTCTTAAAATAAGTAAAGAGAAACCTTACTAAAGACAAAAGAGGATCTCGATAAAAATTCCAAATGTATTCCTGACTTTGAAATTTTGTAAACTAGGGTAGATTAAACATAGTTTGTAGAATTTCTACCATCACTGCTGTTACTTAGCATGATTCTGAAAGTTTTCTAGCCAACCAATTCAGAAAAACATAAGAAAGGAATAAACAAAAAAAAAAACAGTATACCCATAAAATCTTAGAGCATCAACTGAAAAACTACTGAACTAATAAGAATACGATAAAGTGGTCAAAACGTTTACATGTAAAAGTCAAGTCTTCCTTTCTTATATAGGCAATAGCCAGCTGAAGGAGCCTGGAATAAATGCTGGAGTTCCCTTTCTTTACCCTCACATCTCCTGATGCTGCTCCGCCCCCTCGGCCACACCCAGAGGGAAACCACACAGCAGGAGCCTGTTGCTGCCTCCCCAGAGCAGAGCAGGATGGAGGAGGGTGGATGGTGGGGGGTGGAGGGGAAGGAGAGAAACAGACATCATCCAGCACCACAGCTGGATTCTTGACACATAGCTCAGGGGAATCTGGCTACCCATTTGGTGAAAATAAAAAGTTATAGCCTTACACCTTACTTTTTACTCCAAAACGAATTCCAGATAGATTAAAGATTTGCTGTTAAAAATGTTTAAACAAAGCACTTAAAGAAACAATAGCAAAATATTTATGACATCTTGCGGTGGAGAATGCCTTTCTGAACATGTGATCGAGGCAGAACTGTAAAGGGAAGGACTGATAAGTTTAACAACATAAAATTTGTATGGTAAAAATATATGTATTATTCTTTTAAACTTGCTTATATAACAAAAGTTAAATGGAAGCATGTACGGAGAGAAATATTTGCAAAATATATAACCAAGGGTTACTATCCTTCACATGCAAAAAAACCCTTGTAAGAAATACGAAGAGTAATAATACTATGGAAAGCAAAAGAAACGGTCCTTTTGAAAAGCAGAAATGGAAGGGGCACGTAAACATAGATGAGAATGTATTCAACTAGTACTGATCAAAGAAATGTAAACTATATATAAGGTATCGCTTTTGCCTGATTTCAGAAAAATCAAAAAAATATTTTAAAAAAAATCAAAATGATGAACGATACATATTGTAACCAAAGGCGCAGGGAGATAAGCAGTCACACACAGATGGGAGGAATGTAAGGCAGGACCACTTCGGATGGATAACTAGTTAATATGGATTTTTAACCTATCAAATCCACATCTAGAAATTGATCCAAAGGGAATCTTCAGCGACGTGTTGCAGAGATGCTCAGTGGAGAGCTGCTGACAACAGCAAGTACTTGGAAGCTGCCTAAAGAATGAAATCTATAGCTACCTTGTTTAGCACAAGGAGACACCGTGCTAAGCCCTCGTGGACGGAGGAGTCACACACCTTCGTGAGGCAGGTCCCTGATCAGGGGAAGAGGCCGGGGGTGTCGGAAGATTAAATGCTGAGCAAGTTACAGAGCTCGGTGGGGAGAGGTGATGGGCTGTGAGGGATCTCTACACTTCTTGGTATCTTCCTTCCTTCCTTCCTTCCTTCCTTCCTTCCTTCCTTCCTTCCATTTCTTGGGGGACAGTGGGTTTTCCAGGACCTATCAGATCCAAGTCAAGTAGTTGTCTCAATCTACTTGTGGAGGGTGCATCTCAGTGGCCCATGTGAGGATCGAACCGGCAACCTTGATGTTATGAGCACTGTACTCTAACCAACTGAGCTAACCAGCCGCCCCAATCTTGATATTTTCTGAACATTCTACAATACTGTTCTTAATCAGAAAAATAAAGCTCTATTTCAAAGCAAAAAGACTACTTGAGTTCTCTGGAAAGGGAATTTATTCTGACAGTGCTTCTTAAGGCCATTTTAAAGCCTATTTTATTTAAAATAAAACCCAAGTCACATCGTGAAGCTTTACTGACCATTAAACGTCACAGACACACGTGGCAGATTTAAAACACATCTTGGATTGCCCTCATTAAGTCAGCCAAACTACTTCTGTGGCACCCGTCTGTGTTACTCTCAAGCACAAATGTGAAAGAGAGAAAACAGAATGTCCCCTTAACGTTCTCATTTGTGTATGATTGGCATTTGAAGAGTCCCTTTTAGGCTAAAATGACATGGTTGTAAGCCTCAGCCGAACAGCAGTTGGCTATGCCCAAAACGTGATTTTTTTTTTTACTGGCTTTAATGTGGAATTCAGCACGTGACATGTTTGGATCCTTACAGAAGCCCATAAAATTCCCAAGTTTCTCTAAGACAGTCTCCCTTTAAAATGCCTGCACCCTTGCATGTCTGGCACCCAGCAACAAACTGATTCTTAAGAAAAATATTCTACAAAAGTAACTGAAGGGTGGCTGGTTAGCTCAGTTGGTTAGAGTGCAGGCTTATAACACCAAGGTTGTCAGTTCGATTCCCACATGGGCCACTGAGATGCGCCCTCCACAACTAGATTGAAACAACTACTTGACTTGGAGCTGATGGGTCCTGAAAAAACACACTGGCTCCCCAATTTTTAAAAAAAATGGTTAAGAGCTCACACTGAGCAACAGCAGTTCGATGCCCAGCCCAGGCTGAGCTGTTGCTGGGCTGCCAACAGGTGGCAGGATGGCTCAGCTTAAAAAAAAAAGGTAACTGAAGACATTTCCACAGACAAAAGGATTGTCTTCAGTATAACAGGCCTGCAACAAGTGTCACATCTAAAAGTTTAGGAAGCCTGTAAAAAGTTGGCATAAAACTGCAGCTACTAGACTGTTTTTTCCCCCAGATAATCAAATTTCTGGTGATCCTGAGTCCTGCAAGACTACCAACATCTCTTCTCAAACTCCAAAATAAACCCTAAACCTCAAACTCACAGGAACTGGGATCAACATTTAAACAAGGCAGCAGGGGGGCCGGTTGAGTGGTGCATTGGTTAGGAGTTGGCTTGGGAGTGCCAGCTCTGAGCAGCAGGACTCAGGTTCTGATCCCACATGTGGGCCAGTGACGCTGCGCCCTCTACGCTAAGATGGTGAACAACAGCTCGACCTGGAGCTGGGCTGCTATGAGTAGCTGGCGACGGCTTGGGCTGCAGTGGAGCTGCAGTGGGCTCCCGTAAGCTACCGTGCGTGGCTGGCAGCTGGCGTGAGCGGCCGTCCAGTGACCGGTGACCAATCTGCCTCACCCGGGAAGAGCACAATGATAATACCAACATGAGCCAGTGAAGCGACGTCCTCCACAACTGGGCTAAAGAACAAAAGGACAGCAACTTGTCTGTTCCCCTTCCCTAATTCCCCAGTGCTGTTTCCCACTCCCAACCCCCCAATAAAACCTTAAAAAAAATTTAAAAATAAAATAAACAAGGCAGCAGGCAAACAGGCTCTGGGTAAAAGATCCTATATCAAACGTTTCACAGTCTCTGCTCCAAAATGGAGGTCAAGTGCAGAAGCTTTTGAGACATTAACCAACTTATTTTAAAAGGACAAATTCTACAGTGCCCAAAATGCCATGTGATCATTTTTTCTTTACTAAACTAAAAGTAGTCAAAAATGAGTCAACCAATAGGATTACTATGAAAACAATCTTAATTCTTGGAAGCATTTTTCATGATGCTGGGATCAGTTCCTATATGCCATGCCTGTGCTGGAAAGCCCAGACACAGGAACTACCTTCCACCCCATCTCCACTTTCTCCTCCTAAATGCAAGTTTTAGGTGATTCATTACAACTCAGGCTGATGAAACTGAGGAGAGGAGAAAGAGGGGGGCATTCCAGGCTCAGGAAGGTGTCTCCTGCGGGCGAGACATTTCCTGGTGCCTCTATCAAAGCCCCTCTCCGACTTCCCACCTGAATCCCCCACTGAAACACAGACCCAGCAGGCAGGGCCTGTGACATCACCAGCATCCAGCACAGCAACAGGCACAGGTGGGTCTACAGGTATCGGCTACTTGCCAGAGACATACAATTAAGAGAAAGCCAGGGGGGCGGCCGAGTGGCGTGTTGGTTAAGAACTGGCTTGGGACACCAGAGGGCCCCGGTTCGGATCCCACATGTGAGGGCCAGTGACATTGCCCTCCACAGCTAAGATGCTGAACAACAGCTCAACCTGGAGCTGGGCTGCCGTAAGTCGCCGGCGACGGCGTAGGCTGCAGCCCCTGCTGCAGTGGGTTGCCATGGGCTACCATGTGTAGCCAGCAGCCACCGTGAGCGGCCGTCCAGAAGCCGGCGACTGATCTGCCTCGCCCGGGAAGAGCGCAATGATGGTGCCAACTTGGGCCAGTGAATCAACGTCCTCCACAACTAGACTGAAGAACAAAACAACAGCAACTTGTCTGTTCCCCTTCCCCCAATTCCCCAATAAAAAAAATCTAAAAAAAAAGAGGAAGCCAGGTATGGTCCACTTTAAAGAGGTGGACTATATGGTATATGAATTATATCTCAATAAAGCTATTATTTAAAAAAAAAAAAAAGGAAAGATGGGAGGGAGGGAGGAAAGGAGGGAGGAGACCAGATCCCCAGGAATTAGACGGGAGAAAAAACAACAACCATAAACTCTAGCTATTCAAGTATTTAAGGTCAGTGAACCAACATCTTTGATTTACTTCGAAATACATCAAAAAACAAGATGGGCTGGTGTACAGACACTGGGATGCAGAGATGGATAACTACGTGATAAAGTGACTATAGTAAAACATGTTCATAAGTAAAACCTAGGTCATGAATATACAGGAGTTTGCTGCAAAATTCTTTCCATTTTTCTGTAAGTTTGGAAATTTTCATAATAAAATGTTTAGGGGAAAAAATGTAGCTATTCTTCTAAAAACATGGCCTGCACCAGCTACAAAATTTAAGGGAAATAGATACTATTAAACCAGGATACAATTTGAAAATTCCAAAGCACATCCACCATAGAAGTTCTTTGACTTGGCCTCCCGGGGGGTGGGGGGCAGGATGGAAGGGGTTTCTAATTCCTGTCCCCAGGCAGAGAAGCCTCAGAGTGACCAAAGAATGCAAGAGGACTGCACAAGGGTCTCTGTGTGGCCTGCCAAGGGGGCTCAGGGTCACCCTGCAGACATCAACTGACATTTGGCCCATTGAGCCTAAGGCCACTGGCAGGGGATATACAATTTCTGTGTTTCCTTCTTCAACTCCCATTGATTTGAGATTTACCTTGAGAACGACTGAAAAGTTGACATCCTTGGTTTCCTTCAGGCCGAGCGGAATCAGCGGGATCGTAAACGTCTCCCTACAAAGAGCACAGCAAGGTATAATGGACATCCCTATTCCAGCCGCTCGGCACCCACTCCCCAGCAGCCCAGCTCAGGTCCCCACTCCCCTCCTCACACCAACCCTGCTCACACCGGTTCATTTCCCATAAAGACAACTCTGGTCACATCCCTGTCTCTGTTCTAAAACGGGTCCCAGTCCCCTGCGACGTCTGGACGGTCCAGCCTGACACACGGGGGCCTGCTTATCAATGTACCCCTCAAGTCTCAACCCTTCCTTCAGTAGCTGTGCTGAGAACCCACTGTGCCCCAGGGCCTGCGCCTGTGTGCTCACTGCTCCCTGACCTGAGCACACCACCCTACCACTGACCTCCTTCGTCAGCCTCCTCCTCCTCCTTTCCTCACCACAGTGGGTCCCACCTCTCCTGCAGCCCTCCAATCCTGGGCTCTTAGGTGCTGCCTCTCTGGGGAATATCTCTCTAGGTGTCTCACCACCTGTACAGGGAAAGCCTTGAAGGCAGGGGACCCATCTGTCACCTAAGTGCTCCCAGCTCCCAGCCCAGGGTCAGGCCCTAGCTGACTGCTTCCCTTCCAACTCCTCTCCCTCCCCCACTGACCACTCAGTCTCCCCACAGGTCACCATGGGAGTGTAAGCCCTGAGCCTAGTTCTTAGGGGCAGAGCCAACAGGAAGTGAATCCGCTCAGGCTGTTTTGCAAACAGGGATTTAGCTCCCTGACCTGTAACAGGAGACCTCCTGGGGCTGGGAGGAGAGAGCCAGGAATGCTGAGCAGGGTGAGTGGACAATGCAGCTGTAAGCTGAAACTGCCTCTGCGGTGGAGCGAAAACAAGGGGGCTTGTGCTCTAAGCAGGCGAGATCCAACAGGGGTGCGTGGCTTCCCCAAAGCCCACGGGGAGTGCTGGACCCTGCTGGAAGGAGATGAGGCTGGGCCATGCCCCTCTCCTCGGGACCCCTGCGCCCTCCTGTCCTCATCCCACTCAGGGCTGGAGGCAAGGGCTGCTCTTCCTGCGATTGTTCAGGAGCAGCCAGTGTCCTGAGGTCCCCTGGCCAGGGCACCCCAGCCCCAAACGTGGGCGAACGTAATTTTCTCCATGACCTCTGGCCTCCCTGTGTTTTCTTATCTGCACAATGAGATTGTTTCTTCCCTACCTACCTCACAGAAATGTTTCAAGATCAACTATGCTAAGGAAGAAACAATCTGCTTTGAAAACAGGAAGGGGGTGGAGTCAAATGACAAGGTGTTATTATGAATGTGCACTTCTCTCTCCCCTCTTCCCAATGGCACAGGGGACCGACTGGCCACTTGAGAGCCACACTGTGATCACACAGGGGCCTTAATTGCATGTCTCTGTAGGACGCCCTCATGATAGACACCCCTGAGCTTTCAGTAAAGCAAGTGGGACTATGAACCACCCTCCATGTATCGCCAGTTTGGCCTGGCCTTGCCTCCTCGAGGAACTTTAACCTTTTGGGCAAAACACTGGAATTAAATACCGAAGTGAAGGCTGGGAAAAGCCTTTCACTGGTTGTTCGGATTAGGTGTTCACACTGCACTGGGGGCCACCAGCTAAGCAAGCCAAGGCACACGGATGTCACAAGGAAGAGCAGAGGTTTCACGGGCTAACGCTTCCCTCGGCTCTGAAAAACACGTCATGCCATACAGGGGATTGAGGATGGTCATTCCAAAGGAAAAGCACATTCCAAAGATGACTCGAGGTTCCCAAATGTCATCCTTCTGTTAATCCAGGGAACTATTTTCTGACTGAGTTTCCCCTGGGGCTCCCCTACCTTTTGAGAAGTCTCACTTCCCCCACACAGAAAAGTAGGCCAACCCTTCTTTGGAGCGTCTCAAAGCGATTTTCTCCTTAAAGGTGGATATTTTTTTCCAAGGTCGTTCACCTTAGGGTGGGAGACTCTCTGAGCTTTTCTGAAGGCCACACCTCAATACCTCACCTCCCACAGACACACTCTAACGGATGCTTCTGAATTAGCACATTGGTTTCTCAAATATTTAATGGGGTCCATTTCTGAAGTGTCTCAGTTGCACCTTCTCCTCAGGGAACTTGCTAGGGTCCCCTAACCTTTGATGTGCAAAAGGCAGCTTATACGTTTTTGCATTCTATTAACAGAGTGATCCGGAGTCAGGCGCTGTGCTGGTGGTGAAGCTAAAGGGGAAGAAGGCTGGGCAACCTGGGCCCCACCTGGCAGGTCAGCTCTCAAAGGTAACCACAGGTATTTCCAGAGCATATTTACGGCAGAGCCGCCACCCAGCCCATGGGAGAGATGCCGTCTCCCTGCCTGGACCCAGTCATGCAGCTTTCCTGTAAACCTACGTTCCAGGGGCCCCAGGACCAATAAATGCCTTTTTAGTCAATTCTCTGGGTATTTCCAACAAACTTCACAGGTTCACCCCTTTAACTCTTGCACCTTGCTCAACCCCAAACTTGATCACTTCCTCACTTCCCAAAGTGGGGTCTGCCACACTTTGGGACTCTCTGAGTGCCATCCCTGAGGCGGCATGTTCCAAGGCTCAGGAAGTACCTGGAAGACGAGCTGCCCCACTTACTCTGTGCTCTGATAGACTCCCACCGAGATGTTGAGCCCCTCCAGCTGTTCCTTGAGCATCTGCAGGTCTGAGTTCACAAAGCTCAGTTCCAGGCGCACCTGCTCCCGTACCTTTTGGTTCGTGGCTACTCTGTTAACAGAGAAGGGAAGAGAAGCACCTTCAGCCAAGTATCCAAGATGCCCGGTGAGCATACCCCCCAATCCTCGCAGGGAAGCACTACAGGTCCACCTGCAGATGGGAGTGCTAGGTGTGATCAATAAGGTGTCTCAGGAATAGCAGGTGTCTGCCCCATTTTGAGGCACACCTACTAGTAAACGGACCTGGGATGTAGCCAACGACACCAAGCTGCCAGATATGAATCCTAAAGACATCTCTGCAGAGAATTAGCCTTGGGAAGGGAAAAGGGACCTGTTCCCAGCCACTGAAAACTTCTAAACATTGCTAAGACATTAAATGGAGAGACATGTCATGTTTACTAATTGGAAGATTCACTATTGTGAAGATATCAATCTTCTATTGATATTCTCTACTGAGTCAATGCAATTCCAAAACCCAGCAAACTTTTTACGTAGAAATTGATGAGCTGATACTAAAAATTATACGGAAATGCAAAGGACCTAGAAGAACTAAATAATTTTGAAAAAGAACAAAGTTGGAAGATTTATTCTATCCAATTTTAAAACTAACTATAAAGCCACAGTAATCAAGACAATGTGGTACTGGCATAAAAATAGGCAATGAAACAGAACAGAATCCAGAAATAAATCCCTACATTTGTGGTCCATTGATTTTGACAAAGGTGACAAGACAATTCAAGGGGAAAAAGCAGTCTTTCCAACAAATGGTCCTGAAGCCATCGGATATCCCTATGTATGTCGGTGTCCTCAAGACCATCACCAGGTTCAGTGATTCACTAGGACTCATGAAACTCAGAATATAGCAAGGAGTTATGACAACACATGCAACATATTATCTACCAAGGCAGCTCATTAGAGACATAGCATCTAGGGTTTTTACTGGGGGCAAGTCAGGTAGGCACCTCTGCCCAGCATGTTCCAAAATTACAGACTTCCAGAAGGAAAATGGGTGTTCAGCATAAAGTACATTGTTTGCACAAACAGTTTAGGCACAATGAGCCCCTCTTATCAGTCCTGGGACTGGTGGGAACTCACCTGAAATCTATGTTTCCAGACACCAGCCAAGGACCAACCTTACAAGCAGGTCTCTCTAAGGGTAGCCATCTCAGGCCTGCCTGTGATAACTCTTTTCTGCACCACAGTCAAAAAATAAACCTCGTGGCCGGCCGAGTGGCTCAGTTGGTTGGAGTACGAGCTCTGAGCAACAGGGTTGCCAGTTCAATTCCCACATGGGCCAGTGAGCTGCGCCCGAGCTGAGCTGCCGCAGAGCAGCCAACAGGTGGCAGGGTGGCTCAGCTGGTGAGAGCCCATGCTCCTAACAATAAGGTTGCCGGTTGGACTCCCGCATGGGATGGTGGGCTATACCCACCCGCAACTAAGATTGAACATGGCACCTTGAGCTGAGCGGCTGCAAGCTGCTGACGGGCAGCCGGAAGGCAACTGGACTTGGGAGCTGAGCTAGCTGCACCCTCTACAACTAAGATTGAAGGACAACAACTTGGCTGTTCCCCACCCCCAATTCCCCAATAAAATCTTAAAGTAATAAATAAATATAAACCTCAATCTAAATCTCATATCATATACAAATATTAAATCAAAATGCATTAGAGATCTCAATACAAAAGCTAAACTCCAAAACCTCTAGAAGAAAACATAGGAGAAAATTTTCATGACCTTGGGTTGGGCAAAGTATTTTTAATTACACACCAAAAACACAGTCCATAAAAGAAGGGATTGATAAATTGGACTGTGTCGAATTTAAAAACTTCTGTGCTTCAAAAAAAAACACAAAAACTGCTGTGCTTCAGAAGACGGATGGACAGATGGAAAGAAGGAAGGAAGGGGCCGGCCGAGTGGCTCAGTTGGTTAAGAGCTCGCTCAAGAGTTTGAGATCTGAGCAACAGCAGTTCGAGTCCAGCCCGAGCTGAGCAGCCGCTGAGCTGCCAACAGGTGGCAGGATGGCTCAGCTAAAAAAAAAGAAGAAGGAAGGAAGGAAGGAAGGAAGGAAGGAAGGAAGGAAAGAAAGATAAGCCACAAACTAGGAGAAAATATTTGCAAATTACATATTTGATAAAAAAAGTTGTATCCAGAATATAAGTTCTGTTAGTTAAATAATAAAAAGACAACTTAATTTTCTTAATGCACAAAAGATTTGAATAGACGTTTTACTAAAGAAGATGTATGAGTGGCTAATAAGTATATGAAATGATGCTCAGTATCATTAGTCAATAGGAAGTGCATATTGAAAACATAATGAGGTACCAATACGCACCCATTAGATTGGCTATCCTAAAAAAAAAAAGACAAACAATAACAAATGTTAGTGAGGATGTAGAGAAACTGGAACCCTCATCCATTGCTGAATGTAACAGGCACAGCCACTTTGGAAACCAGGTGGGGAGTTTCCAAAAATGTTCAACATAAACTTATCATCTAACAAAGTAATTCTACTCCTAGGAATCTATATGAGAGAAATAAAAATATATGTCCCAACAAAGACATGTAAGTGAATGTGTATAGTAGCATTATTCATAATAGCCCCAAAGTGGAAGCAATCCAGATACCCACTAAGTGGTAAAGAGATACACGAAATATGGACATCCATCGACTAGAATGGTGTTACGCTGTACGAAGGCACGAACTTCACCCAAGTTCTCCAGCAGAGGTTTTGACATTGATTTGAAGACCTTACAGGTGGCTCCCTCACTTTATAGATTAGGGATCAATGCAAAAATAACAGTGGCAACAAAAATCAAGTACTGAGCCAGACCTTGCTGAGCACACTTCCGTGAACCATCCAAGCAGGTCCTCAGTCATACCTCAGATCGGCTACTAGAATTTATGTTCATTTCACAGATGACACCTGAGGTTCATCAGCCAAGAGCTCCAGTCAGCCTGAGTCGGTTCATCAGCCAAGAGCTCCAGTCAGCCTGAGTCGGTCCCTGACCATCTTCCCCTCCTCACTGATAAAAATCCAGCCACCTGTCTGTCACCAGCTTGCTTTACTCACCACCTTTCCTCCAGGGAGCAAAGGGCTAATGCTTCCCCTACCACCTGTCCTCCCCACTGGGGCGGCTCCCCGCCTCACCACATATTTGGGCCCATCAGGTTCTCTCCCTGATGTATTTATACTTCTCTCCTCCCCCACCCCCTTCACTGAACTCCTCCTTGATCAAACAAGCTTATGCTCCGCCCCCTCAGGAAAAGCCAAGCCTGACCCTGGCTGCAGATATGATGGCACCTGCTCTCTATTCTGCCCAGTAAGTTTTCACACGTGCATGTCTGGGCTCCCCAGCCAGGCAATGAGATCTTGGAAGCTGAGCTTGGCGACTATCATTAGTTTGGGAAAATTTTTTTTTTTTTTGGGCTATCATCACCAGTAACAAATACATCTTCTATCACAATACAGTACATGTACACACGCGCCCCTAAAACAAAATTCTCATGAAACCATCCTTTGCCATCTATGTGGTGCACTCCAATATAGTCTAGTCTACTCTAATAACGTCTTTTAAAAAAAAACAAAAAAAACCCCACAATGCTGTTTGAAACTCTCCAATTCTGATTCTCTGGCACCAATGGGGTGCCCAACAATTCAATTCAGTTCTGACACCAACTCCCAGAGTTAGCACAGACCTCACAGTCACGGGCTTGGTGCCAAAAGACCACCCACGTCGGGCACCAGCTGTAAGTACGGGGCACCTGTATTTCTCAACGACTAGCTATAAATCAAAAGCTCCCACAACCCATCCCCTCCTCAGGGTCAATAATTCACTGGAACAACTCACAAAATTCAGGAAGACATTTTACTTACATTTACTGTGGTTTATTTTAAAGGGTACAACTCAGGAACAGCCAGATGGAAGAGATCCACAGGCCAAGGGGGGGCATGGGCTTTCCATGCCCTCTGGGCATCCCACCCTCCCTGCGCCTCGAGGTGTTCACCAACCCAGAAACTCCCCAAACCCCATCGCTTAGGGCTTTATGGGGGCTTCGTAATTGATTAAATCATTGGTCACTGGTGATTGAACTCCAGGGTTGGGGCTGAAAGTGCCATTCCTCTGTCAGGCTTGGCCTTTCTGGCAACCAGCCCCCCTCCCCGTCCTGAAGCTCCCCCTCTCCATCAGGGGTCATCTCACTGGCAAACAAAAGGTGCTCTGGAGACTTCAGGGCTTTTAGGAGCTCTGTGCCAGGAACCAGGCACAAAGACCAAATATTTATTTTTGTATTATACCACAACAGCAACCCATTTAATTGATTTCATTCCATACCCTGGGTTACAACCTGCCGCTTGTAAAACCTGTACAACAGAGATGTTACTGAGAATGTGACTGATTCACTCGCTGATAACGTCTGCGAGGATGGATGGAAGAAAATTCTCTCAGCCCTCAGTATTGAGAATGGCTCCTTCTAAGCAACTGGTTTGCTTTTGGCTAATGGGTATGGAATGTGTTCCAGATCAGATCCCTTTTTCACACTGCCTTCCCAGAAGCTCACAGATATACTGTGGCCCACGTTTAATAAAGTATATAGGACCTGGTAGTTAGCATGTACTAGCCTTACTTCCAGCCAAATGTCTCCTTCATTCTTCCTCTGCCCCCCCCCATATCCTCCTTCACTCCTGGGTTGATCTTACATGTTGTAGGAGTGTGCAAAGGTGCCTTGAATCCATCTTGGAATGAGGCAAGATAAACAATTATAACTCCTGAACGTTGAGAAATATATTTCTTTATATTTCTCCTGGAACTTGGCATATTCCTTTCCCCATGCTGGGGGCTCAACAAATTTCAATAATGAAAAAACAAATGGCAGAATAAAGACCACTCTCTAGAGGCAACAGTGATGCAGGGCGGGGGTGGAGGGTGCTGACTGGTTCGCGGCAGAGTGAGTCCAACTTAAATATAACAGTTTAGACCCTAAGACCCCTGTCCGAATACCTGGAGAGCCTCCAAAGATGCCAACAATGTTTCCACCTCTACATACTCATTTACCACGTCTCCACCCTCTAGACTTGGCGACAATTTGAGATTTACGATTTGCAACAAATTGATGCTCTCTGGATGCGGAGCTCTTTTGTGTGGGTCACTGTGGAAAGGGTTGGTGGCCAGGCGGGGCCTCAGGTTTGGTTTCCACAATGCTGACCTTTGGGTACAACGATGATTCAGAAAGCAACTGTAGAGTTTGAGCTGTTTCTAGTACAGGTAACGATTGTTCACCGATTGGTGGAAGGCGGCTTCTCGAATGAGGAACACCAATTCAATATGGCGCATGGGTGCAGCTCCCCTGTGCCCGGGCTGGAGAAATAGCTTGGGGCAACAGACAAGAATAGAATCAGCAACCCAAATTAGGAATGAAGACCAGAGCCTTGGTCTCTGCAGTACTGGTGCCCCGTACCTGGAATGCCTTTCCGGATAAAAAAGAATTGCTTCTATGGGCCTTCTTGGGAGAACATGGCTTTTCTCAGCTTTCTGTTCGATGTGCCCCTCCTCTGAGGCCCTGTGGTCTGGTAACTGATGTTACAGCCAAAAGAGGCCTTGAGATCAACTGGGATAAGGCAGTGAGTGTTTCTGCCCTTTCCTGCCCAGAGTCTCCATGGCCTCCATCTAGCCAGGACCACCAAAGGAAGGCCTGCTTCCTTGGGTTTTTCATAAAGAACATGTATATATTGAGAAGGTGTGTCCCACTTACTTTCTCTGAGTGATCAACTCACCAAGTGTGACCAGGGGAAGGAAAGCCACAGTCCATTATTTCCTGAGACCACATCCACACACGGTTTCCCTCAATGTGGAGCTTCTGAGACCTTTTCCACCATAAAAAGCCCCTATGTGATGATGGCTTCTCGGCCCCAAGTCTAAAATTTCTTGAACATCCTTATGTTTTGTCTTAAAAATGCATGTGAGTTTTTCATTCTGACCTGTACATCTTCATTTGTTTCAGTGTAATTTTTTTCTCAAGTCTCTTAGTAAAATTGTCCCTCAGGAACAGGCACGTTGACAGTCCACAGGCTTGTACCAGTTTCAGAGACCTTATTGGAGCAGCTTGGCCTTAACCCATCTGACCCCAAATCCTGCCATGCCAGGGTTCAGGAGGGCTGCCCGGTGCCCTCCTGTGGCCACTAAGCCAAGAGCAGCCAGTGTGGCAGGACATCTGACCGCAGCCCCTGTGTCAGTGTAGGAAGGCAGGCTCAGAGTGGGTGCAGGCCCCAACCTTCAGTCACTCTCATAGCAGCCAGAGCCACCCCAGGTCACCTCTGGCCCAGAACTTCATGACACTCTGGTACCAAGGTCACCAACTAGAGTTTTGTGGGACTTGTTAACTTGGGTCTTGGGGTGTTATTTTTTTCCCCCCTTTGAGCTAGTGGCCAATATTTTAAAAATCAACTATAAGAAGGTTAAAAAACAAAAAAAGCCAGATCTCTAGCATCTCCTGAAAAAAAAAAAATCGGAAGACCTGGCCACCCTGGCTGTGCCCTCCATTTGGGGCAAATCGCAGTTGCCCCCCCCCCCCGCCCCCCAACAGCACACATGCTCCATACTTTGCCGCAGTCGCTACCACTCCCTATGGTCTCACAGTCTCAGTCCTGGCCCTTCACTGTTTTCCATGCCCACCTGGACCCTGCAGACCTCAAAGTGGGCCACCCCGCTCCAGGCCAATTGCTACCAGCATGAGAAAGGAACCTGAAACCCACCAAGGCTAAACGACTTACCCTTCTTGTTCAAAGAACCAGTTAGTTAAAACTGAGCTATGTGGCAACTTGCTTTAAATTTCACAAAGACCATCTCTGTCTCAGAGAAGCGTCATCACATTTCTACCCCAGCTTTTCTCAAGGGAGGGGAGGGAGCTGGGGAAAGAGAGGGAATATTGTCCTTGCTTAGCCTGAAAAAGTACATTTAAAATATCTGATATCTTCCTAATCAAACTCCAGGAAGTTCATAGACTCTTAGCTGATACAGATCTGAGAAGCCCTCCAAGGGGTACGAAACCTGGCCCCTCACAGTGCCTGCCCAGCCTCGAAGCTCCCTCATCAATGCAGGTAAGGACTGGGACCCTCGTACTCCTGCATTTTGGGGGACATTTTCCCAAATGCCCTCCCCCGCAGCCATATTCCAACTGTTCTACCTTCATCTGAGGGCTGTGATGGGACATCTGGGAACCTGAAAACAGACAGACATACAGGCAGGCAGGACAGCGGGGCCCAGTTTATGACTGAAACTACCCCATGCTAATCGCAGCCCAGGGACACCCATGGGGCCAGGCCTGGGCTTGGCTTAACGCCCTATTTGTTTTCAGAACTGTTGGTGCCGGTTGAGTCAGATTAATAAATACCTTTAGGGTTTCCTCTGACAACATTCTCCAGAGAGGGGCACTTTGAACCTTTAGGTCACTGCGAGAATCATTAACAACACCACCCCACCCCCACCCCAGCCAGCTCCGCTGCCCACTTGACAATGAGCTTGAGCCATTGGGCCTCCAGGAAACTGTGTGCTGTTGTTATTAACAGAGCAAGACAGACAAAACCGCCCTAGTTCCCATCTTAAGAAGCGACAGGTCCCCTGGTCAGAGAGGGCCTCCCTGACCACCCCGTCTCTAAGGCGGTACCACCCTGCGTCAACCTCTATCACATTTCCTTTTCATCAACATCATAGAAATATCACCTCCTGACACAACTGGATTTGTTTACTAGGGTATTAAGGTCCCTCACAAGAGATTAAGCACCATGAAAGCAGAGCCTCTATTGGAATTGCTGGCAGCCCTATCCCCTGGCCCCGCAACGATGCCGGCCACTTAATAGGTACTCAACATATCCATCTGTGTGACGGGTGAATGAACAGGCAAACCAATTGCAGCCCACTTCTGGGGAAGCCACACAAGTCAGGGCTGCCCACCTGCCCCCTCGGCCACAGGGCTGGCTTGTCAAAATGTCAGCCAAAATCTGCAGCCACCAAACACACTCCAGGAACGTGCCTGCAGCCTTCCCAGCACGGCAAGCCCAGCACGCGGCAGGCACTCCCGAATTGCACTGGCTGCATGTGGTCCACACCTGACAATTCCCAGACTTCTCTGGGGACAGGGACGCTGTCAGACATTGTAAAAGGTGCAATGTTACGATGTTTTTCCCAGTCTCCTGCAGGAATAACCTCCCTCCCACCCTGTTACAAAAGTAGCTGGAGAAGAGGTTCCCAGGTACCTGGTCATCCCCCAGGACTTGTGTCCTGGGCCATGAGGAACAAACCCAGCCCAGGCACAGCACTGCCATTCCTGACCCAGTGGCAGGGTCAGGGGGCTGCTTATGTTCTTCTTCCTCTGCCTCTGCAGTATTTCACAATAAAAATGAATGAGTAATTCATGTACTTCATAAAAGAATATTCAAATACTGAAAGGAGTACAGTGAAAAGGAGAGTGACCTCCACCTCCACCCCGACCCTGGTCAGCTCCCAAGAGCCGACTCTACTAACAGCTGCTTTCTTCATCCCTGTTGGAAAAAGGCTGTGCATATACAAAAGCATATGTACAAATCCTTTAAACACAGACGCAGGGCTGGTTGCCCTGCACCTTTCTTTTCCCCACTTAATAGCTCAGAAATCTTTCCTAAGGAGCACATACAGACAGATTGGGAAATAAATGTAGCCCAAGTTCATAGTCAAAAGCTCTCCTCCTGTTTATTGAGTGCTCCGGTGAGTGGCCCCGCGTGGAGGAGCTGATCCTGCCGATCGCAAGTCTCTTGTGACCACCAGAGTCCTGCGGCTCCTTTACAAACACTCAGTTTAGTGCATTTGTTTTTCCCAACAACCTCTGAGCTACCTCTGGGCTCCCTAAATCCTCCAGTGAAGCTGACCCATTGGGAACACCCATTAGCCATATCCTGTCAGGCTTCCGGGTTCCCTGCCGGGTTCCAGGTTCCAGCAAGCACTCCACAGCTCTTTCTCAGGCTCCAGGAGGCATCTGTCTCCCTTCCCGGGGCAGCAGGCATGGCGCCTGCCTCGACTACTCAGTGCAGAAGGCGCCACGGGGCTGACAAGGGTTACCGCTGGAACTCGGAATGAAGTTCAGAAGAGGAAGCTGGCATGTGGTCTTGCACTGCACTGAAGCTTAGAGCTGCCTGTGACACAGGTAAGGCTTCACTGAGTTCTACGCTTGATAAGTAACTATTTTACTACCAGAGCATAATAATGAGTGCCCCGGGAGCATGGGGCTGCACTGGGCCCTTCTCATTAGAGCGATGGACACTGGCAATAGAAATGCCCTCATCCCCTCCTTTCTGCCTTCCTTTCCTTTATACATTCAACAAGCTCTTACCCAGCAGTGATCCTCGGCCAGGCACAATACTAGGCAGTCAAGAAAACAGACACATCCCACAGAAAGCAGGGAAAACAAACACAAAAACAACTGGACACTCTCCCCCCACACCCCCACCTCCACCTCCAGCTCCCCTATTCCCAAACACAGGGACAGGCTAAGTCAAGTACTTGCCTTTAATGTAACCATGCTCTAGACAGGAGAGGGCCTTGCTCCAGGTGCCAGAAATGAGGAGGAAACCCCAAGCTAAAACGAAGAACTGGAGAGAAAGCTGGACAGGCCTAGGAGTGTAGGGAATAGCTGGAGAGGCCTCAGGGGAGGTTGGGCTCCTGTGGAGCCAGCAGGCACCTACTTCAAGAGGTTTTCTGCTCCCGTTCTCATCCGCACGGCTTTCAGGATCTGTTGGTTCAAGGCAGCCCTCTGATTCTGCAGTTTGCTCCGGCCAGTTTGCGCGAGAGGATTGCAACCCTAAGGGGAAAATGAGAGATGCCCCTTGAGAGGTCAGCCCCACCAAAACTGATGACATTTACTGTAACAGAAAGTGGTTTTAAAAAACTAAACTTTCCTGACAAGAAAACAACCTGGAAAATATGTAAAATATTGAAAAGTATGAATGAATTAATTAATTAATTAAAAATAATAAAAATAAAACAAAGAAAAATAAATAAGGGCGGCCAGGTGGCTCAGTTGGTTAGAGCACGTGCTCTGAACACCAAGGTTGCCAGTTCGAGCCCTCATGGGCCACTTTGAGCTGCGTCCTCCTTAAAATAAATAAATCAATAAACATATAAATAAATAAATAAATAAATAAATAAATAAATATCACTTATAATAACACAACTCTAAAACAGTCACTGTACATTGGTTTCTTTCCTACCCATGTACATTATACGCATGGCGTTACTCTCCACATTAGTGGCTGTGTCAGGAGTCTCCAAGACCAGCCTCATGTCTGGGGATTCGCTAGGACTCACAGGATTCTGCATAGAGTCGCACTCATGGCCACAACTTATGACAGCAGCTTAGTAAGGATACATAGCTGGATCAGAGGGGAAAAAAAGAGTCAGCTGAGGGGTGGCCAAATGGCTCAGTTGGTGAGAGCATGTGCTCTGAACAACAAGGTTGCCAGTTCGACTCCCCTGTGGGATGGTGGGCTGCGCCCCGCCGCAAGTAGACTGAATACAGTGACCGGACTTGGAGCTGAACTGCGCCCTCCACAATTAGATTGAAGGACAGTGACTTGACTTGGAGCTGATGGGTCCTGGAAAAAACACATTTTTCCCCAATGAAAAAATTTAAAAAAAATAAAAAAGTCAGCAGAGTCTGCAGGAATCCATGTGCGGACTTCCTTATGCTCTCGCTCTCACTCGCTCATTTGTTATCTCCCCACCCCCCAACTCTGCCCCATGAGGGGCCACACAAGGCACATTTTTCTCCAAGCAACAAAAATGCAGCAACATGCATGTGATGTGTCTGCCCAGGTCAGCCCACTTGAGAATCGAAGCCCGGGAGTGTTATTGGGGGCTGGTCACAAAGGCACACTCTGCCTAATTGCAAAACAGGTACGCAAATTCCGGGCTTCCAGAAGGAAAGCAGGTGTTCATCGGAAAACTACATGATTTTTGCCATCAGTCTAGGCACACTGAGCCAACCTTATCAGTTACGGAATGGAAGCAACGCTCCAGCGGCCAGGTTTTTAGACACCAGGCAAGGGCCAGCCTTGCCAGCAGACCTTCCTAAGGACAGCAGCCTCAGGCCGGCTGTGTTAACCCTTTTCTGCATAGTGGCACCTAAGGGTTATCATGTTTTCTCACTTAAAATTCAATCATGAAAATGTTCATTATTATGAAATGTTCCTGAAAACCATATTAATGATTGTACAATATTGCTTTTTAGGATTTATCATTTCCTTATAGTTGGACAGATTATTTCCAAGTATCTGCTATCGTGTATATTCATTTGATACATATTTGTAAACACAAATCTTGATAAACCTCAAGTTTTGTCTTTAAGTAGATGTCTAGGGCAGAGTGACAGGGGGCCTAACCTTTTTAAGGACCCCCATGCACCAGCCCAATTATCCTCAGGGAAAGAAAGCCAGGCCCTGTTCTCTGTCCGCTCTCCCCTCTTGCTGCAGGGAACCACAAATCTACTTTCTGTCTGCATAGATTTGCTTATTCTGGACATTTCATATAAATGCAATCATATAAAATGTGGTCTTCGTCACGGGCTTCCTTCACTTAGCATGTTTTCAAGGTTCATCCATGTTGTAGTGTGTGTTGGTCCTTCATTCCTTTTTGTCCCTGGCTAATACTCCATTATATGGACACACAATTATTTATTTATCCATTCATCCGTTGATAGACATTTGGGGGTGTTTTCACTTTTTGGCTATTATGAATAAGGTTGCTTATTTGGGTGTAACTTTTTTTTTTCTTCTTCAATTTTATTGGGGAACAGTGTGTTTTTCCAGGACCAATCAGTTCCAAGTCAAGTAGTTGTTTCAATCTAGTTATGAAGGGCGCAGCTCAGCGGCCCATGTGGGGATCAAACCGGCAGCCTTGGTGTTATGAGCACTGCACTCTAACCAACTGAGCTAACTGATCGCCCCTGTGTGTAACTTTTTATGTCTTCCCTTGTCTTGGCTATATTATACCTAGAAGTGGAACTGCTATGTCATATGGTTAATTCTATGTTTAACCATTTGAGGAACTGTCAAACTTTTTTCCAAAGTGGCTATACTATTTTACATTCCCACCAACAGTATACAAGGGTTACAATTTATATATTGTAATACTTGTCACTGTCTGTGTCACCAATACTTGTTACTGTCTGTCTTTTTTATTATAGCCAAACAAGGGTGTGTGTCTCATTGTGGTTTGGATTTGCATTTCCCTGATGGTTAATGACACTGGCCATCTTTTTTTTTTTTTGTAAACTCTTGGGCTGGCCGTCTTTTCATGTGTTTATTGGCCACCTGTATATCTTCTTGGAGAAATATCAATTCAGATTCTTTGCCCATTTTTAAACTGGGTTATTTGTCTTTTTTTTTTTTTTAAAGATTTTTATTGGGGAATTGGGGGGATGGAAACAGTGCTGGGGAATTGGGGGAAGGGGAACAGACAAGTTGCTGTTGTTTTGTTCTTCAGTCTAGTTGTGGAGGACGTTGCTTCACTGGCCCAAGTTGGCACCATCACTGCGCTCTTCCCGGGCAAGGCAGATCAGTCGCCGGCTTCTGGACGGCCGCTCACTGCAGCTGCTGGCCGCTCACGCTGGCTGCTGGCTACATACGGTAGCCCATGGCAACCCACTGCCACAGGGGCTGCAGCCTACGCCATCGCAGGCAACTCATGGCAGCCCAGCTCCAGGTTGAGCTGTTGTTCAGCATCTTAGCTGTGGAGGGCAGTGTCACTGGCCCTCATATATGGGATCCGAACCCGGGCCCTCTAGCGTCCCAAGCCAGTTCTTAACCATCGCGCCACTCGGCCAGCCCGGGTTATTTGTCTGTTTATTATAGAGTGGAAAAGTGTCGTTTTTAATCTTTGCCAAGTTGATATTCAAAAACAGGTATCAATTTGCATTTATTCTTCCAATTTGCATTTATTATTAGTGAAGATAAACATTTTTTTTTCCAAATATTATTGATCACTTGAATTTCTTTGTCAGTGATTTGTCTATGTTCTCTGTGCATATTTCCTGGGGTATTTGGATTACAATCTTTCATTCTGAAAAGTTTAAGATCAGAATCAGTTTCATTTTAACCTAATGATATTCTTCCAACCCAGCCAGTTGAAACTCTGGGACCTGAGTGAGGGCTCCATGCCTTGTTGAAGCTTATCTTTAGGTTCTGCCCACTGATGCAGCTATGGTTACACCCTGGGAGTGGCTGGTGAGCAGTAATGGTGAGAAAACAGCCTTTCTCTCCATCTGCGTCATTGCAATGGCAGCTCTGCGCACACCTAGCCTCCCCATCTCTGCCCAAGTCGTGCCCATGACCTCCACCTGAAAGAGGGAAGAAGTGGGTTATCTACAACACCAACTTTCTCAGGGATCCCCATATCAGTGGCCTTTGGACTAGCAGGTCAGATATGTTTCTCCTTCCACAAAGATTTCTCATTTCCCAGCAGTTAGCCACCCACCTGTCCCCCACACAGCCCCCAAGTTCAAATTCCACAGATTTCAGAATCTGAGTTAGAATAAACTTAAAGTTAACATCTTTCAAATTATTAAATGATCCCTGATTTAAAATAAAAATCAGAAAACTGTCTTTTTTCAGATATGATTAAAATAGCTTTAATATTAAAGGACTAATTTCATATTAAAGGACTAAAATAATTGCCAGCCTCTTTCCTTTCCCCTTCCTAAAATTACTCTGAAAGGATGGTTCAATCTGACTGACTTCAAATTACATGGCTCACCAAAGCTGTGTTCAATTCAACAGAGAGGCTTTAATAACTAATTCCTTTATGTACATTCCCAGAGCTAAGATAAGCAGCCATTCCAGCTCACGGATAAGAACTTTTCTTGCTCATATACTTTACCCAACTTCTGGCTGGTCCGGAATGGCTACACCCTAACTAGCCCACAGATGTGGGGTCAAGTTTCTAGATAAGACATAGGAATGTTTAGGATTAGAGTTGACTGAGTAATTGGACCCAAACGACATTACTTCTTACTGACAAGTAGGAATGCTGGGGCTGCTGGAAACACCAGAAGCAAAGACAGGGTTACTGGGAAACCTCCCAGAGCCCTGAGAGGTGAATCTGGGCAAGGCGGCCCGAAAAACTTCCTGGCATCACCGGAGGCTGTTTAGCCATCCATGTCCACTGGCCCCTGCCAGGGGTTCTCTGCTGGTGGGAACCCACAGTCCTTGCCCACAACTTAGTTCTTGATTCGTTCAAGAACTTGATTGGTTCAACAAGGATGTAGAGCTGCTCCAAAACTGGAGTTTGTGCCAAGGATCAGGGAAGTACCCGTTACGCCTGCTTGGCCTGGGAACCTGGAGTGTGGGTTGGGGAGGGATTGAATTGTCAGCAAGGCTTATAGTGAAGCGAGTCTTTCCTCGACATGAGGTCTGTTGGTTCCCTTACCAGACCAAGATTTGGGCGTTTGCATCAGTCTCAGAACATGGAAGTATGGTCCAACAGCCAACACTCAAGAAGGGCAAGTAGTGAGTGAAACCTCAGCTTCATCGCTGGCTCTGTGAGTGTCACCCATGTGTCAGACAGCCAATGTGGACCCAGCATCTTGGATCCCACAACTCTGACGCTTAGAGGTTAAGTGAGCCACTAAAGACCCTAAAGGCAGTAAGGGTGGGCATAGGACTTAAGCCCGTGTCCTTCCTGGTGCTCTAAGATGGGCTATGAGGCAGCCTGAGCAACAGGAATGTATGGGGATGTGTGACAGCTTGCCTGCCAACCCCCAGACACCCTGCACAAGCTTCCTGGCTGAGGGCTGCCCAGCATCAC